CATATGGTGTAGGTAGGCTGCAAACAACTTCTGTCATTTGGGTGAAAAATCCTTTGGACGTCGAGAGAGTGAAAGGCAGGTTGAAGCCCAAAGGTTCTGCCAGTGTAGATGAATCAGAGGAATTTGTAGAACCGTAGATGGACTGAAGGCATGAGAGTAAGCGATTTTCAGATCCACCTAGCCAAGATGGAGTCAGCAGGTGTTAAAACACCTTGGAGTGTTCTGGATGTCTCAATACAAAAATTCTTAGGGATGAATGAACCTCCCTTGTTTTTTTGTGTGTGTATGTGTGTGTCTCCAATGCCTTCCCATTAGAGTTAGGTGAAGAATCTGGTCGGACAGAGGGGCACTAGAAATTTGAAGGACAGCTGAAAGCAGTTGCAAGCACCCATCTGATTGACATATATGTAAATAAAGAAGTTGGCGGTCCCCAACAGTGCCCTCTGTGTTATTTGCATGGGCTTAGAGGGGGAGGGCAGTGCTGAACTTGACTGGTGCACAGGAAGTGAACGAATAGAATGAGTGAGTTAGTTCAATGTGGTTAGCCTTTGATTCCATCATCTCTATGAGTTGCCCCATGAATAAGCCTTTCTTCAAAAAAGGGAGAGGCACTGAACTTTTGCTTTCACGCCCTCATACGAGATGTTCATGGCTTCTATCGCATAAACTCTGCGAGTAAACGATGTGAGGTCGGAGATAAGTGAGAATCGCTCAAGATAGAGTTCTCATCAAGTGTCATAAGAGTGACAGCATAATGGTCTGGAGGGACAAGAGATTTATTTTTAAGCACAGGAGAGATACTCCAAGAAGAGTGAAATAAAAGGCTGTGCAACAGAGAGTGCAGTGTGAGGCTCTATCCAACTTAAAATTGGGTAACCTCAAGATTGGATTTGTCCTTGTCGAGGAGGCGGCGGCTTGCAAGAAGACTTAGCCAAAACAGCAGATTATAAAGGACAGCCAGTGACTGACACATTCATACATTGGAAAGTCAAAAAGCAGAACGGTCATCGTGCATACAATGCGAGCACCCTGGGACGAGCTCATTATTATGGGTGGGGTCCCAAGGCCCCCTTGGGGTCCCTGGTGGGGTATATGGGCAATGCCCCAGTGGGTTCCAGGTTCCTGGGTTTTAGCAATTTTTATTCCCAGGCTGGAAAGGTCATCTGGAACAACAATTCTTAATGAAACATGAAACAGAATTTGTCATTTTCCCCTGCACCTTCCATAACCACCCTGCAAAAAAAAGCCTCTTCTATGAGTTGTTCAATTTTTTTCTTTCATATTCTCTATTTGTGCATTTAAATTTCACTTTGTAAAGTTTTGGGCTGCATTACCATTCTTTCAAAAACAATTAATGACATTACAAATATGAAATAACAAGACTGGAAACATACAGTTGCATTTGGAGAAGAGCAAGCATGGATGCATGGATTAATCACTTTTTGGAATAAGGATGTCAACTTACTCATGTTGGATTGCAGCTCTTTCCTCTAACTCAACTTTTCATGTGCTTTGGTGTTTGGAGGTGATGTGTCAGTCCCTATGGTTCTACGGTCCCTATGGTTCCCCACTATTAGTGCCAAGCAAGGCGTTATGTATTTTGATATCTTGCCGACAAAAAACAAACTGCTCCCCCTTTGAAGATGAAGAAACGCAGTGATATATTGCTTTATATTCTTCTAGATATATCAGACGGTCAGCGTAGACACAGCAGACATATACAAGCCCTCCATATACTCGCGCTCACACCCATGACATCGTGTCACAGTCGTCACATGCACAAATGCTGTGTATATCTGCATTGGTTATGAATCGGAGATGCCACTAGCCTATGCCCCGAAAATCGCACGGTGTCGGTTTCATATGTATTAATGCATGAGTCTGCGTGCATGTACACAACGTGCATCTTCATCATGTAGTTGGCTATAAAAACAAAAAAGTTCTTTCTTGATCATCGCTGGTTGATCACAGTCATGAGTTGCAGCCTACATGTAGGCCAGCATGATGTTTTTTACTCAAAAAGATACAAACATAACGAAAGCTTTCCGCCTGATCGGAAGTATGCAGCATTATGGTCATGACAGTAGTCAGTGGGTTTAGGCCTACCTGGCAAACGAAGCTATCTAACATAAGTAGAAAAGAAATCACCATTGTTATCCTTTTCTTCGAGCCATTTCCACTGAAATTTGTCCTTGATATCTCTTTCAACATCATGAAGATCCTCGTTTCTGTTGACAATTAGATGCTGCACTTTGTCAGCCCTTGAACATAAGGTCGATCCACGTGTTGATCATCCAACGTACAATGTACGTTCGTTGTGTAAGTTCATGCATAGCACATGTCGGATGTGCGTGCATCAAGGTGTCCATGACAAGCGATTAACATGCATCAAAGGTCAATATTTAAACGTATTTCCAGTCACTGAAGACACCACTCAACACTGTCCTTCATATTTTGCACCACAACATGACTGAAGTAAGCACTCTGCTGACGACTGCGCACAAGATTAAATACCCAGTCGTGCGGTGCAGGATACGTGCGCATCATAGATTGGCTTCCAGTCTTTTGTTCTTTATTCAATTTTGTCAATGTTGGAAACATTGAAGGGGGAAACGTAAAAAAATCGGATTTGGGGAGAAAAATATTAAAAAGTCGGATTTTTTATTAAAATCAGAAAAGTGGCATCTCTGTATGAAATCTCTGTATGAATAGGCTCATTCATAAATGGCAATATCTTTTTTTTCCCCATAATTATTGGACGATGCATACAAAAAAGATTTACAAAAAAATCATATTAATTCATACTAAACAACAAAATGTAAAACGAGGGAGTTTTGGAGAGGACACACAGAAGTAAATAATGCCATGGTTTCATTAATTTTTGTCCCTTTACATGCCAACCTTGTTCCCATTCACACGAGCTTGCTGCACTAGGAGGTCCAAAGGAATGCACATGCTGCCCATGGAGTCGAGGTTGGCATTCCTATCACTTGGCTTTGGCTTGAAATTACACATAAATTTACAGGTACGGTTGTGGCTACACCCACTTTCCATACAGTCATGTGTAAATTGAAGCCGCAACCAACCGATTTGGGCACAAACAGCACGTATGTGAGTACGTGCTGTATGAGGAATGATAAGGATGAGTGAACTTTTGTGACAATCCGCAGAAATTGGAAGATTTTTTTCAGATTTTTTTCTTCCAAAAATAGGGAAATATTAACATTCTGATTTTTAGGCCTTTTAAAACTCAAAAATCAGAACAGTTGCACTCTAACTGGAACAGATGGCAGGTCTGCACATCATATACATGTATATGTGAAACTTATATGGTGTGTATAGTGCAAAGTACATGTAAGAAGGATAAATATTTCAATCTCCATGCATGAGGTGAACACCTTAGCCTTAGCAAACAGAGGCAGTGGTGCTCCAGGGCCCTACTTATACCCTGATTTGTAACCAGTGGCATAACTAGGGTGCTACAGCTGAGGGGGCACATGGGGTGCACAATTTTTTTTTCCAGGGGGCACTGAAAATAATTGAACTTAGTATATATATTTTTTGTCAATTTCAAAATTTCAAGGGGAGGGCCACCCGGGGGGACAGGCCTCCTTTGGGGGCATGTCCCCCCCCCGTAGCTACACCACTGTTTGTAACTTTGTCCCTCATGAGGCTGGTTAATCCTACCTCCATGAAGGTTGTAATCCTCTGGCACACTGCTGAATTTCTCCCCAATATCTCTGAGAATGTCCTCACTGATCCCAGTGGGTGGGTAGCGAAGGGGCACATCACTCTTGAAAAAACCTTGATTTACAAACAATCATATTTCCATAATAAATACCATGTATAAATGAACATCTTGAACTTAACTTTAAGTTAATACCCAAAAGCAAAATTTGTCAACATTTTTTCTCAGGTCGGCAATAATTTGATGATTTAGAAAACAGACCTGTCCAGGGAGAATCCAGCCAATCAGAATTCTTGACATGCGCAATTGTCTTTGCATTCTGATAAGCATCTTCACAGATCTTGTCGTAGCCTGCAAGTTCTTCCTACACACACAAAACACAGTGATCCGACTAGTAGTGATGAAGTTGACTCAAAACAAAATTTCAACAAAGGTGTTGACCAGTGGGCTTAAGGAATACCTTATAAGTACAGAAAATAATGATGAACATATAGCATTTAGTCAATCCTGTTTGAGTTGCATCTTCTGCTTTTGTTAGACATTAATGTATCAGTTTGCCGAGCACCCTTAATTCTCATGAACAACCAAACCCGAGACAGAAATATAGTATTACAAGCTTTCACCTATTACTATAGGGCCAGTTTTAGAAAAGAAAATGAGACTGAAAAAATGACGTGTGATAGACTTCTGGAAAGTTATTCATTTCCACTACCTACATTTTTCACACATGGTAAGATACTTCCCAACCACAGACATGTCCTGTCCTACCTCAAATTCTTGCTGTGTCATGACACCTTCTTTGATCTTAGCCTCTGCATATGTGGACAGCACAGGCTGGTGGCTGCGGATTTTCTTGTACATTAGGGGCTGAGTGAACATAGGCTCGTCCATCTCATTGTGACCATTGCGGCGGTAACACACCTATCAATAAAATCAATATGCATTTCAGCAAAAAACATTTCTGACTGGCCAATCCAATACAGCCAAACCTTCATATAGACCTTTCCATTTTAGTTCATTTGGATATGGCCTGCTTTTTCGTCTAAGGAGGACACCCGACCTTCATTTCATCTCACACCTGGTCACACTCCTAGTAAATACCATCTACCTAATCTGGGGCAGTATTTGATTCATGAAGAAGAAACAAAATGTACAGAAGAAATCGGCAAATATGAAACAGGTAAAAAGAAGCAAGGCTCGGGGAGATGCTGTGCTGTTATAGGTTGCACTATTAATAGCAAAAAACTGCAGTAGCGGATCCATTGCAGTAGCGGATCCATTCACCTAAACTACATTTAGAATGTAGGTGCAAGCAACCATGGCAACTTCACCGCTTCCCAGGACATCTCAAGAATGACAAAATCCGCAAATAGTGCATTGCCAACCATCAACAAAAAACTAAGCATATTAAAACAGCTGGGTAAGTATGGTGACAGCTTTACATTTCTGGAAGGAGATTTTTTTATTGTTTCCAATCTTTTCATTTCAGCCTCTTCTGTAACTAGTACTGTGTAACCATAAAGGAATAACAACACATTATTCCTCCATGGTGTAACTAATGCTTGTTACTGTTCAGAGCAATCTTGTAGACTCTTTTCTTATGCGAAATTTATTGTAGGCCCACTCCTCCAGAGTTGATTATTCTATAAATGGTTTTCTTTCAAATGCAAATTAACTGGGATGGAGTACAATTGATTTGTACAAGATTGAAGTGAATATTGCACTAAACATGCATTATTAAACATGTACATGTAGGCTCTAATACAGTAAAATCTCGATAACCCAAAGTCGGTTAACTCGAAACTCCACTTAACTCGAAGAATAATCAATTCCTGCTGAAAGAATAGGCTTTTATGTACAAAAACATATCTGTAACTCGAACTGCTCACATTGCCGGATTCGTTTACCTCGAAGTTTTTGTGTAGCAGATCCAAAAGAAGCCGCCGCCAAAATACTTCCAGAAAGTGCGGGTCTAGTAATGAATCATTTCTGACATGCACACTTCGTCTTTTCACACCGGAACACTTGCAAGTGCGCTACCATGATGATCGATCTTGACACATAAACCACACCGTGACCGCAAAATCCGACTTGCAGGAATTGGCCCAATTGTTACCGTGGGTCCATTGTAGCCAGTGCGTCGGCAGGCCAACTGATGGCTCTTTGCAGTGGCTGCAGCAATGCATTGGAGATCTTTTGTGTCTGCCACACGTGCCACACGTACGGTCTGGCCCAACTGCTTGCGCTCACCCGTGCAATGGCTGCCCAATTAGAGCCACAAACCACTGCATGTGAGCATGCAGTGGACCAACCATGTGACTGCAACGCAGAGCTTTTGCGTAGCCAAATCTCACTCCCAAAAAATAAACAAAAGTTTGATAATAAAGAACGAAGAACAAAAAATAAAAACAGACACCAATGGCATTTTTGTTTTTACCAAATTTTATTGAAGTGCAAAAAGATGCGCCCTCATATGATGAAAAAAGTCGTCTGACTCATTGGGAAACCCTGCCCGAGTACGCATGTGCAAGGCGCTGCGTTAAGGTGTGTGGTATCAGAAATGGGACCACCACAATGCGTCACACATGCACAACGTAAAAGAAAGATTTGCCTCGCAAAGGTACACAGCTTAAATGACTTACAATACATGTAATGTATTGTATATCAGCTGATTGACAACAAAAATCCTCAGCAAAATTGTCTTTCTATGAACAAAAACTTGTGGCATCGAAGTAGAAGATAACCCCAATGTCATTTCAAAAGTCATCATAGGGAGATTTACAGTAACTGTGCGTCAGCGTATAGGTACATGTTATGATACACGTCGCAATGATGACTTAACTTCAAAAGCAATCGGGACCTTCTTTTAACTCGAATTTTGGATAACTCAATTTTTTGGTCCATTCCCCACAAATTCAAGGTATTGAGATTTCACTGTAGTTACCAAATTTTGAATTTGATTAGTAAGAAGGTTTAAGTTAACGTTTAGTAGGAAGGAGAACCTTTTTGACTGGAAGCATTGCTGAATTATGAAAGAATGGTTGTAATTATAGGCCCTGCAACTCCCAGCATCCCTGTAAGTCATCTAGGCTAGTATTGTTATAGTAGTAGGCCTACAAACATTTGTATTTGTTTTGAACAGGTACATGTATGTTCAAATGCACTTTCCAGACGGTGGGCCAACTGTTACTCATCCATACCCAGTGTATATGTAAAGTTTCTTTGCCTTTCTGAGCCATTCAGCTCCACTTGGTTTTATTACAGAGGTTTCCTAGTCCATTCATTTTTTTTAGGAAGGATGATCAAGTCAGCCTCAATATCCCTGCAGTTGAAACAAGTCTCCTCTATCAAACCCCAATTTCCGCTATGTTGTCCTTCACAGCTTTATACCTGTACTCACATAATTGGAGGTTCCTGTGTTATACATTCTTTGCTGTGTATATTAATGATGCAGTCAGTTCATGTCATACACTTGGAAGCAACTGTTATTCTATAGGCAGTTTAATGCCAGTGTAATTTCATACTCAGTGATGACTCCCAGACCTGTGAGTCACACTCGGTGTGACTCACAGTTCTGGTATTACTCAGTGATGTACATCTTTCCTTTGCTACTTTGTAACCAGAAGCAGCTTTCAGTTGGAAGGCCTCCTCCATGTCACTGCACAGTATTCAAAGAAAGAAGAAAAGGAAAGTACCAGAAGACTGATGAAGCAAAATTCAGCCACAGCCCCTCACCAAGGCAAACACAGCATCTCAACGATACAAAACAACAGACCAGAAATAAAGGATGCTGCAATTCAGTGGTACGATGGAACTAATGTTAACCACACATACTGCATTTTCCCCGGCCAGCAAGAAGCTAACTCAAAGGAGACTCCGACAGAAAGTAAACCCGATTTACTGTAGCTGCTGGTGATTTCATTGTCAAAAATAGCATGTTTTAAACTGGCCTCCAGGTTCTAGATGCTCTGTGGTGCAATCTGAGGCATTTTCTGGCACATTTTCCTGACATTTTCTCCTGTTTACAGCAAGAGATTAAGGTGAGATTTGTGGGCCTAAATTGAACAAGTTGGCATCTCTGTAGACAGGGTCAGAAAATACACCAAATATAAGGAAACTGTGCCACTCTGAAACCTAATTAATGTGACTAAAGGCTAGCAGGAGCTCTGCATATGACTCAAGACATCATACTTACGCTACAGGTACAGGACAATATGTTTTCCTCCAAGCGTTCCTCATGATGGATATCCATGATTGATATCCTGGGCAATTTTATGAACGGCTGTCTTTCTTCCAGATGGGTTTCCATGGACTGGACGTTTGACAATATCCACTTTCATTCTCTTGGAAGTTGCTTCCTTCTCTTTCCTGGTTGCCTCTAACCTCCGCTTGTACCTACCATTAGCAGTCTGCATATGGTAGATGAGGGATCTGTCCACAGGACTCTTAATGACATCCTTTCTACGGTACAACTGTAAGCTTGTGGTATGCTTTGAGCGCAGTTCGTACTTTATAGACTGCATCGCAGATAATGTCTCCGCTTCAAGTCTATTGGCCTTGGAACTGATGAGGTCATTCACAGTGGAAAAGGATCTCTCCCCTTCAGGCAGCTGGTGGGTCATCTACACAGTCAACTACTGCCCGGCTGGCTGCAAAAACGGCTGGACTGGTAGGTGTATTGTTCCTTACCTCACGTATTTTGCCATGTTTCTTTGACTTGGCATGGTTTTTCAAGTCCTTCTTACCAAAAGAGCTGTACTTGAGTCCGTCATTGCACCACGAACAAATTGCATATGCGGGGTGGTCTATTTTCTGGACGTAATCCGACAAAACATCTCCGTTGCAATCCTTCTCCTCCAATCATTTCCAACAACAGACATTTCTGATATTTTTGTTGACGTCCTCTATATTGTGTGACCAATCTACCACTTTGTACATGTTGCGGATTGTTGGATGAAAAGCAGATTATTTCGCTTGACAGCTTGACATGACACGTGGCTCAGAACATGTCAGATGCGTAGCAACTCCCATGCCCATGAAAGATCCAGCTTCTAGTCTTTGTTCAAGGCATTATTTTACCCAAAATGGATAAGGGCCTTTTTTATATGCGCACGTTAAGTCGTATCCATGTGCGATGTCTATAGATGGATCTGTTCTATAGACTACTCACTTCAGCTCGTTCTGCTCGCAATTTTTACATGACACGGAACGAGATTTAGGCTAGCTATAGCATGTATTTTCACCAGGAACGGAAAATCAATGAAAATCTGGGAAACATACTTCTGCCGCACTGATATCCGGATTTCCGGATAAATCCAGGTAAGTTCCATCACTGCAAAACTCACACATTTTGATGATCCCCCCAGCTGCATGCACAGGTTTATGTAATTTTCAGCTACCTGTAATCAGTGATGAAAAATTTGATCTCACTAAAATTGGAGAGTAACTGGACACAGCCAAGCATTTGTAAAGAACATGTAAAGCCTCGCTTGAATACTGTGGTGACGGTAAAACAAGTTTACAGATGTGCACATCTGCACACATGCACTGACTCAGCGTTAAAATGTCTTTATCAGAAAATTGGACAAAAGGGCCCATATTTTTTAAGCCTGCTTCAAATTACAAAATAAAGACAATACATAACAAAGTGTCAGTACATGTACAATGTTGGAAAAAATTCAAATACTTAGCCTGAAAGAGGTTTTACTCTAGTTTATTATATATATTTATATATATCATATATAATATATATATTATATATTTATTAAGTATTATAGTTTCTCAGCTCAAAATCTGACCTCAGACTGGCAGACTGTTGGAAAGACATTTTAGCACTGAACCGATGATTTATATTTCGTATTTTTATCAAGCTGTAACCGTATTGTTTAGTTACTCTAAATTATTTAGTGGCAATAAATCAG